CAGGCGGTGAGGAGAGCCGCACACGGCGGGGATGCTGTGGGGGCGGGGTGGGAGGACGCGTGGGGGGGCCGGGGCCTGGGCCCGGGCCCGCTCCAGGCAGAGCCGGGGGAGAGACCCAGCTTCACATATCGGTGGAACAGGGCCCCCAGCTCTGTAACTTGCTGGCACTTCTGGGTTCAGGAGCGCGGGGCCGATTCGACCTAAGGCCAGCCCTGCTGGCAGCCACCAGCCATGCTGAGGCCCGGTACCGGGCCGCAGCCCATTGTTTGGGAAACGCTGGACTAGTCAATTAGTTGATTAAACTGTATTTAACATCCCTAGCAAGTGACACTGGCTGCACAGTCTCTTTATCTCTCTTGAAATGATTACCCTAGACTGCAGTAGAAATATCTGGACACTTTTTTGTGCAATGTACCGACACGTCTCGTTGGTTAGGCCACTTTAGCAAGCCCGAGGACAGTGTTGTTTGGAATCTAAGGGTATAGCTACACTACAGTTGATGGAAGGGTTTTTTCCATCTGTAGGGTAATTCCAACACTTCTGTGTAAGTAATCCATCTCCCCAAGAGATGGTAGCTTTGTGTGTGGACCCAGGCAGCCTCTTTTTCCTGATTACCTCCCCTTTATACTTGGGTGACAGGACAGCGAGGGATTATTAACATGGTCCCAAAGGATGACCACAATTTTCTGCCAGTTCCTGCCAAAGTCTGTTTGCTTTTACTGCTGGACTGTCCCACTGCTGGGGGAGTGCCTTGGGACTTTCTTAGGACTTGTGCTGTAATCTGGAAAAAAATGTATTTTCAGGAATAAACACTTTTTCCCAAAAGAAGTCCAGAATCAGAATTCATTTTAATGCTGTTAGGTTCCACAGATGTGTATTCTAGCAGTGATCAGCTTGTGAAACTGCTTTTGAATCCATTTACTGTATTGCTCCCCCAAATATTTTGAATGGCCTTAGCTACCCTCAAAAATATTTTTCAGAAATTCCAGTAGAGTTTAGCATTGAACATTTTGGAATCAGGGTGGGGCTCAGAATGAATTGGAAATTGGATCCAGAGACATGGGAACTAGATTCTTTATGGTGATTAAGCGACTGACCTGCTGTGACACCAGTCATGTCATGGCACTTCTATGCCTCAATTTCCCCTTCCAGTCTTTGTCTATGTTGATTGACAATTCTTCAGGGCTTTTCCTTTTTGTATTCAGTGCGAATTCGGTTGTGGCCTTCATAGCATTGCTATAATACAAATGAGATTTTTTTTTTCAAACCCACGCACCAATTTTCTTATGTCTGTCTCAAGTAGCCAGAACCTGAGCAAGAGAGAGACCCTTTCTAGCCATGCAGAGCTCAAAAGCTTGCCTCTTTCACCAACAGAAGTTGGTCCAATAAAAGATATTGTCTCGCAAATATCCTGGGACAGATAGTGTCAACAACATCCTATGTCTCATTGAGTGCCAGGCTGTGCTCTATTTACAGACAAAACTTTTGTATTTATCAGATGAGTAACTGATATGTTGAAGATAATTTAACACCTCTTTCTTTTAAAAAAGTAAAATAAAATCTCATTTGTCCTCTCTCTCTCTCTCTCTCTCTTTCACTTTCAGAATTGAGTTTTTGCGACATTTGAGAAGCTTCTTCCAGATTATGTTCAAAATTGAAGCCAGGCCACCTCATGAAGAACTCAAGGGTGGAGAGAAAGTGTTGATGACGTGTGTTGGCATTGGATTTTCCAACCTTAGCAAAACAATCAAATGACAAAACAACTGCAGTTTTAATGAAAATGTGACATCAAAACTAATACAGCAAAGATACAATGTAACACTGTACACACAAAATGGTTGTGCCTGTTCTTCTTTCTCCTCCAGAATAATGTAGTGGCTGCTATGTGCAACTGTTTAAGAATATTATGAATTTTCACTTTTATCTCTTTATGGAGGCATTAAGGAAAGCAGCCTTAACAAAGATGACCAAAAAGAGAATTTGCAATGCAAATAATTTACCAAAATGTGGAGAGAGGAGTAACATTACATAGCTGTGTCAAAGAAATACCAACATTGAAATAAATTCAGCTCAAACTAGAGCAATATTTGTTTTCAGTTGTACATGCAGAATTTGAATCTTGAGTGGGCATTAGATAAGGACCATAAAGTCAGGGAGAGACACTCTTACTGATGAAATGGGCTTTATTCAAGCTTAGTGAACTGCAGGTACGGGAATAAAGTAGAAATATCTTTAATGTAACTTTTTTTTAAATTAGAACATAAGACATTTGCTATACTGTATCCAATTCAACTTTCTTGCTGTAGGAGCAGGGGTAGCCCTTTGGACTAGATTTTTTTACCTGTAAATTGTTTTATATCAGAGCCATGATTACTATTTTTAAGAAGGCCCAGGTTGGTTTGTTTACAGTATTTCATATACTCCAGAATGAGACTCTTCTGATCATTTGGGAAAGGTGGCAACACAATGCAGTAGCCACAGGAGTTTGGACTAAATATATCTCATCAGGGAATTGTCTTGTGCGGCTGCAATCTTTGGTGAGATGTTTGGTTGGGGTTCCTGTCTTAATGTGTCTCAAGTTTCCAAATGATGAAATATCACAGATTTTTTTTCTATACAGCAGAGGGGAGTGGTTGAACCTAGTGCACATGTGTTAGTTTAGTATTGGGCTGCTTTTGTACAAGGAAAAAAGTATTATGCACATGGCCACAGATTGAAGTAATTTTCCTCAGTATAACAAACAGTGAGGATGACTAATTTAAATTGAAACCATTTCAAAAACTGTACCACTGGTAGTACAATGGTCATAAGCCTGTACAAATTATATTGATCACTATATACTGTGATTAATATAGCATTACATCATTAGAAACTCATGAGAATGCATCCTTATCCATTACCATTGCAAGAGATGCATCCATAACATGATAGATATATGTTGCCCCACACAGGAATTTGACAGAAGACTATATTTATGATTAGTACTGTGCTGTAAAATATTGGAGACAACAATACTCATGTACTTGAAATTCTGTGGGGGGTTTTGTAGCAATCTGATTATGCATTTAGAAAAATAAAATTGAATATTTTTTTTTTCCTAAATGAAGCTTTGTTTCTTTGTTTAATTTTGGTTTCCCTGGACTAGCACTCTGGATTTTCAAAAGAAACAGCTCTTCTAAAGAGATACTTACGATAATTGTCACCTTCTTAAAAACTTCTGGGAGGAGGAAAATAGGGGTGACATCTTTTTAGTACAATGTGTAGACATTACAGTAAAAAGTAATAAACCTGGACTCTCTTGTACCCTCTTATGCACATCAGTGAAGGGAGCTGAGATGTGTCCTGGCATAGCCTAGTTGATATTACTGTAACTGAAAAGCATGTCATGTCTGCGTTGATATTCAAGACACATGCCACAAAATGCTGTAACTTGTCATGTTACGTACATCATGTTGCTCTGTTGTTGGGCTGTGTAATTCATTATGTAGATGTGTGTGCTTACTGTTCAGAACCTGAATGGGGCATTACAATGCTGTGTAATCTGTGCAAACAGTCTACATGCAAAATACAGTACTGCTCTTATGTTGCAACAGATGGATTTCCTATTACATGCTTTTAATCAACATTCATAGTTGGTGACCTGGTTGGTGAGTACTGTTTCCAGTAATTGACTGGGGAATTACATCTCAGATTAGGGATGTTAAATTTAGATAGATTAACTAATGGAATAGTCAGTGGTATTTGACTATTCGATTAGTCTATAAGGGCACCTCTGCCTTTGAACCTGCCAGGTTCTTGCCACATTTCAAAAGGAAGCCCCAGAGCGCTGGACCAGTGGAGGACTCCCCACTGGCCCCATGCTCCCTGCAGCACCTGATCCTTTGAAATGTACAAGAGCCACACTGGAGCTCTTGTACATTTCAAAAGCAGAATCGCAGCAGAACCAGCAGTAGAGAGGGAGCCGTCTTAGTCTGATCTTGCTAAAACAAAAGGAAAAACTATGTAGCACTTTAAAGACTAACAAGATGGTTTAATAGGTGATGAGCTTTCGTGGGTTAGACTCACTTCCTCAGATCATATTCCCCAGCAGAACCAGCATGAGTGGAGACTGTTTCAGTCCCCAATCGTGCCATTTCCTGCTGTGCTTCTACATCCCCTGCCCCTATGCTTATCGGATAGTCGACTAGTCACTTACATCCCTATCTCAGATTGACTCTTAGCACCTGGATCTTTAATCACAATCAAATGTTTCAAATAATACTGTTCAGAAGACTCTGTTCTTTCAGAACAGAAACCCACTAATTCTGAAGGCAGAATGAGGTACCTGAAATTATCCTAAGAATGAATTCCCTTAAATGCCATCCCAGAAATTAGTTGAATTATGACTGAGGCAGAGTAAAAACAATGTGATGCTCTTAAAGTGCAGAATTAAGCTGTTGCTCTTAACTTTTTTGCCAAAGATTGTTGCATGATCCTTGGTGTCTTGATAGTCATCCCTCATAATATAGAGCACATGCCAGTAGCCCAGTTCTTCACCTCTGCTGCAGTAACACAGTGGTTGAAGCAGATCCGAAGAGGAGGAAGCTTACCAGCATTGGCTGTAAGCAGTCTTTGATGTTAACCCAGTGTGCTGAGGTATCACCTGTGTCCTAGTGCGTGAAAGGACACAGCACAAGGAATAGAACAGGATGAAGGGAGTAGTAGATGTTCCCAGGCACTCTGTGTTGAGTATGTGATTGTGGAATATCTGTTCAACTTCCATCCACTACTGTCCTCTGTGGAGTTCCAGGAAGGAAAAAGGACTGACACACGATTCTGTTTCCCTAGGTTTCTGTCTGGGGGAGAAGTAATCAGTACTGGGCTCACTGAAGTGGGGAGAGAACTGGAGACAGAGTACTTCCCCCCCCCTCCCCCCGCCCCCACTGTGGGGAGGAGACAACTAAGAGACTGATCTGTCCCTAGGAAAAAGAAGAGTGATGCTTTGGACAATTGATGGTCCAAGGTTTCCTGTGATTAGGTGAAGCCTTTTAAAGTAGGCATCTTCCTCCTTCATGCTTCCATTTCATACTCTCCTTCCTGATCAGTCCTCATTCATCAGCCAGTAAAGCTACAGTAGGAGGATGGTTGAGCTTGCCATCTCAGGCAAGGGAGAGGAGCAGAACTCTTCTTGGTTTCAACAGAGGATGGAGAGTTACACTCCCACATACAGAACCTTGGCACATCTCTAGTTTTCTAGGCAGAGGCCAAAGCACCGGCCCTGGGAAAGTTACTGGCAAAATAGAAGTACAGGGTTAACTTTGAGAGAACCTCAAAGAGGAGATTTCTTTGTAGTGCCGTGCTCACTCTGAGGCCGAAAACGCTCAACTTTTATCTTCTCCTCCAAAGGGCAGGCGCCTGTCCAATTGCTGGCTCCTACTCCTTTCTATAAGGTTTTGCATCTTATGACATCAGTCATGCTGGGCTGATGTCAAAGCACAGACACAGAATGCACACGACTATTTTAAATGGCAGCCACTTAGTGCTGCAGAAAACTCTGGCAGACAGCTAGTGAAATTCCAAAAAGGCGTTCCAAAAGTAGTCCCAGCTCTGCTAGAGGCTTGCTGTGTGATTTTTGGGTAAAAAACACAATCTTCATTTGGCTTTTGATTATTTGTATAATATCTTGAACAGCTATATAATGGCTACTTACTATCTTGTAAGGGAACAGTTTGCCTCTGGGGAAGACACAAGATATTCTCATCTCAAGGTGCTGCGGGCTTGTCACTTCTCCCCCTAATGGAAATTGCATCCACAGACTTATTTTTTAATATATTGAGAAACCCTCTTCTAGAAATCATGGCCCTGAAGTTGTTTTGGAAGGGCGGAATTATGACAGTCTAAGCAGAAGAGTACATAGCTCATTTTGCTTAATATAGGTAAGTAAGCAGTGGGAGGCAGATGGTTTCATGGTGAACAAAAAGCTTTCAAAATTGATGCTGAAAAACACGTAAAAGTATTATAGTTATTCAAATATAAGTCTGGCTTGTGGTAAACACTGTTCTTGTCAGTATGATTAGCCCTTCCCTGCACGTGCAAACGGTCCTTTCATTTAATGTTGGTGAACTTGCTGGTTCTAATCTGATCTGCCTCCTTGAAGGCGTCAGAACATCATCATAGATTATTTATTGCTCTCCGTTGTAGGCATACTATCCCCAATGTGCTTGTGCTCCAGTTTACTGAAAGTTCATTGAATGAAAAGGACTGAGATTCCACCGTGAAGTAGTTAACTGATTATCTCTGCCTTGCATGGTTAGCCACAAATGACAGACTAAAGGTCTGGTCCTCTACCATTGAAATCAGTAGTGTTTCCCCATACATATGGGGGGTGGGAAATCAGGATCAGAACCTAAGCACCCCACATCTTGGCCCAGTACGCATTGGATTTGGTGTCAACCCTGGAACACCTCTTACTTTATTCCAAAGTGCTGGCTGGGAATCCACGTGGAGGAGTACAGGCAGTCCCCGAGTTACGCGGATCCGACTTATGTCAGATCCACAGTTACAAACGGGGCCCGTCTCCCTGGTCTCCAGCAGACCAGGGAGAGGAAGCAAAGCGGCGGAGCACGTGGGCAGCGGACAGCCCAGACGTGTCTGGGCTGTCCACTGCCCGCGTGTTCCGCGGCTTTGCTCCCCGTCCCCCTGGTCTGCAGACCAGGGAGACGGGGAGCAAAGCAGAGCAAAGCCAAGGAGCACGCGGGCAGTGGACAGTCCAGACGCGTCTGGGCTGTCCGCTGCCCACGTGCTCCGCCGCTTTGCTTCCTCTCCCTGGTCTGCTGGAGACCAGGGAGACGGCCCCATTCGTAACTGCGGATCCAACGTAAGTCAGATCCGCGTAACTCGGGGACTGCCTGTAGTT